TTAGATTTGTAGTACACTATCTTTGCCGATTGTGTTTGTATTTAAGACAGCCTAAAACGAAAGGAAGCGCATTTGACGATTGAATTAAACTTATACAGTTTACACAACAGGAAGTTGACAAGTCTAACTCCCTTCTTTGATCTGCTCTTTTGTCTTACCACAGAAAATAACGTGAATTGCAGTAAATATATTTCAGCCGGTAGTCATGTGTCCCTAAAGGTGTTGTGATTTTTGTTAGAACTTATTAACGTGACCTGTCTGAAACCAGTAACTACTGTGTAGCTAGCCCACCAACCAACACTATACTTAAGCTGAAGCTAGTATGAAATAGGTAATTACAATTTGGTAAATATATCTTCTCAGGGTCTATATACATACCTTTTGTTATATACCTAACAATATTCCCCTAATACATTATTTTATTTGATGTGCATCTGTTCTGTGAGTTGTTATAATCTATCTAGATAACACCTACAGTTCTAACTTCAGGTTCTATTAAGCTTTCGAATTTCTTTATGAATGAAGCGTCCGCCTTTTCTAACGACTTTTCCTATACTTGGTTGTTTCTGGGAATTTTTTTTTAATGTGTATGTATTCATTTGTTTTGATATTGATCGTTTCATTGACATTTTGGTGTTTTGATCATCAACTTTCTAATAATTGAAAAATTTGATCTATATATCCACACGGTCAATAATTGGAAACTAATTTGAAAACAATGCTAGAATTTTTTGCGATCCCTCTGTATGAGGGTTTTGAATTTTGAAAGTTGAATCTATTTGGTTTTTTCACATCTGATCACCGATCGGTATATCATTTACAGCAGCTGTTTCGATCCAGTTTGCCACTCATCACTAAGACTCACTGATATGTATCCATTTATATATATATATATATATATATATATATATATATATATATATATATGTTGGTCTCTCTTTCTGTTTGCTCGCTTAGTGTGTGACCATTTCACTTGTATGAACCTGTCTCCTTTAACAATGTATATTCCCCTTATATTATATATAATATGAGTGTTTGTTGACAGTCCGTTGCTTGGTGACATATATCCATATATGGTGGTTGTTGACATGTCTGCTATATTTCGCTATGTATATATGGATCGATACTTCATTATAATTAGCCATTCATGTTAAGACTGTCTAATGATTGTTCACACCCTTGTCATATATATTTCGTTCTCACAATCTTGTGACTTACTTACACTTACTTATTTTTGGTGTGATACCACTTTTGCATTCTCCTTGTGTTTGGAAAATAGAAGTATCATCGCAAACCTAGTGGTCTTCTGATTTCCGCCTTCTTGCGTCAGGACTATTAGTTTCTCGACCAGTCCATAACAATAATTTAGCGACGAGTACATAACAATTTGGCGACGGGGAAAACCACTATTAACCACTCAGCAGCAGCAACATAACACTCACTCACTGAGGTTCGAAGCCACAACCTTCCGGTTGGACTGATGTAAATGAATATATGTGTTATGTCTTTTCATCATATCTGTATTTTAACTTACTTACTGCTTCAGTTTCCCAGGGAAACACTAGAAGATATTAAAAATAATCTCTTTCAAGACCTGACTTATGTGTTCAGAAAGGTTCACTTATTAGTCTTTCCTTGCCTCAACGTCTAATATCCTCGTCACAATTGATTAAACAATCTTTTGCTTTTTAACCCCATCCCACCGTCATTTTCTGCTTTAGTGTAATTTACTTCATTTCGTTTCTATGATTTGAGTTACACTCACCACACTGATACTTACCGTCAACTTCTCTCCTCTTGTCTTGACCGTGCAACTCAATTGTCAATGTATCCGACTAATTTCTCATGTTTGTATTTTGTTTGAACCTTGACCTCCTTCAAAAGTTATAAATAAATGGAACCTGGCAATACTATTCATTAACATGTCTCTCTGTTAACACAAATCATGTTGATCTTTGCAAGTATGGAACAATTCTATGTAGAATTACATGACAACTTCTAGGTTGTAAGCAGATGAAGGTAGTCCGACAAAATAAATGATGACCTCAAATTACTCTATGCAAACATTTGAGCTCAAATCGGTTAGTGAACCATTGGGAAACCGGCATTGGAACACTGGGCATCCGTTTCGTTAGCCTAGTTTCAGGCTCTACAGTGGTACGCACCAACCGGGGTTCAAACCAGGAAATTCTGGTTACAAGGCGAGATAGCTCGTAGATCATTAAGCCACTGGGACCCAATCCAATGGCTAATGAATTCTAACTTCTGCCAATTCATGACACAGCGCGATAGCTGGCCAAATACCTTCAGCGAGTGTTTTACCTCACACCCGACCTGCTGCACCCTACCGGCCACAACTTCATAAAGGGGAATAAATGTATGAAAACTGTTTCGAGACGTCTATTGCTTTCCATCTGCCATCAGCAATTTGTGTCCGCAATCTGTAGGCACTGAGTAGTTGGTTAAATACCTGTTGGTATACACTACACTGAAGCACATGCTGGTAATTTGTTGCAACAAAATAATACTATAGAATATGCCTCGTGCTGATAGCCTGTAGTGGGCTTCATACAATCGTTACTTACTTATTTCAGCTTAATATTCTAAAAGCTAAAATTCTGGAGATCAAAATGCTGTTGCTTCTTTAAGTGTGTAAAACAGAGTATATATATTCATGACGTGTGGAGTTCAGACCCCATGTTTAATATTATTTGGAACTACCATCATCTGCATGTACCTAGATTACCCAGTGTGTGGTTATTTTCCCCCGAAGACTCAGATCTAGAGTGCATTGATGTTAAATCACTGAATTCCTCTACTAAGTGGACTTTAGTAGTAACTTTCGCATTCAATGCATTATAAATGAAAATGTAATGCTAAAGTTTACGCTACTATTAACATTTCCATAGTTCAGGGGCAACCACAAGAAAATGATCATGGATAAGAGGTAAACAGAGTGTGTTTACATTCAACTCAACAAACATTATCTGAAATGAAATACCATCAAGAAGTAACCAGAAGAAATTAATAACAAAAGTACTTAAGATAGATAATTGCTGGAACTTAGGATTAGCTAAACCTACGCATAGTTTATAAGACAAATATCTTCATCGCAGATAGTGAAAATAGAAAGAAAACAAGTGGCTGGAGATATACTCATTACAATGAAATACTTTCATAACATTACTCACTTATTGTCTCTCTCTCACACGCACATCACATATCAATACTCAGATCTGGCGTTATAATAATAATAGAACAGGATAGCCGAAAATCAGTACAAAGTTTAGACATCAAATAATACAGACGACACATAAATAATAGCGTGAGAAATTATATTATTATTAAGAGTATATTCACTTCATTTTTATACCAAATTGCGTTGAAGATAAGTGGAACTTCGGAGACAGTTAATCACATTCATGATTACCAGGAGAGATGATTATAAATATATTCTACAGCCTCACTTCACATTAAGATCAGAGCTGAAGATGTCAACCAAAACGACAATGAAAGCTTCGGAAATCAAGATACCATAAATACACAAATTTTATCCGAACTGTATTATGTTTTAAACGATGTCATTATGTCAACAGGACAACGTAATATTACCTACAAGTGCAGCTTACAGGTCAATGTTTACAATTTATCGGTTATTTCAAATATTCCGTCACCTGTGTAATGGTTAATGACTTTAGGTGAAATGTAAATTTGAGTCACGGCAAGAATCTAGGCAACAGCCTCCGAATTGTTATTCCAGAGCTCTGCCAGCTGGGGTGTGTCCCAGCTGCTAGCAACGGACTAATAATTCTGAGGCTGATAGTTCGAATATTGTAATGAAGCTCCAGTCGACTTCTGCCATTGCACCAGTAACAATCTGCCAAAATAAGGCTTTCTTAAATGGTCCGACTTTCGACTGTACCATATCCCACTGATTACTCGTCACCTGACAAATAGTTCTAAAGGCATGTTATTCTAGCCATATTTACCTCCTCAGATCATGGTTTGTTCATTACAATGAATTGTTTGCATAATGTGATACTCAGAAGGAATCATTGAACCTCCGTCTTATTTACTAGTTAGTTATCTGAGTCAGCTAACGTCTCATTAATACATATCCTTATTTTAGATACCTTTCGGACTACAAAATCTAACAGTCAGAAATTTTTGCAACGTATGATCTTGTTAGTTTCATTATTAACCAATAATATTTTTGGAAGAAAGTAAGTGGATGAATGGGAACTGTATTCAGACAAGTATTATACTTAGAGATGACATTCAAAGATGACTGTAGTATAAAATCCCATTCCAAACACTATTTTTATCTTTTGAAGGTACTGTCGATACCGATGTTTTAATTAGTGTTGACAGTCGACATAAAAGATTATTTGGACTTTGGGTGTCGCAGAAGTCAGGATTAATTTCATTGTAGATATCGTCACAAACTAATGTCGGATAGAGAAGCACTGAAAACCTGTGAGCACAGGATTTCAGTCTAAATACCAACCTCCAGCTCACTGGTGGCTGCTGGATAGATGTCCTGTCGTCAAAATGACAAGACATCACCAATGGTATCCACTTTGTCAAGGGGAGGTGGCTGTACGTCGAAGGCACTTATCAGCGGTGGCACTTCATGATGAAATGACAGGAGTCGGAATTCATTGATCATTGAACTCCATTCCGGTGGCTGAACAGTCAATATACTGGCCTCATACGCTGAAAGTCCTGAGTTTGATTACTAATGTGGTTGTTGGCGTTCAATCATGAAGAATCCATGGCGAGAACAAAACAGCTGACCGCTTGTCTCTGGTTTCCAATGTTTCTTTAAATGATGTTCATTAATGATGAAACGTCCAGTTAAAATAAAATATTATCACATTTAATCGATAAAACTGTGGAAGACCCAAATTAATTATTGTTATACTAACCCAAGAACTCTGCTTGTTAGTTTTACGGAAATTTTAACCGCATTTTTATTGTACTCTACTCCTTGTATTTAGGTCCAACAGGTTGTTAAACAGTATACTGAAAAATTAGAGAAAAAGTTAGACAGACCACTAGGACGCATTGAAGTTCAACTGGATGCAAGGTTCACTTCAATACGTTCACATGAAACAAATATTGGCAATCTTATTTGTGATATAGTATTAACTGCTGTAGACGCTGATTGCGTATTATTCAACTCTGGTTCTTTAAGAGCTGATCGGATAATTCCAGCTGGAATGTTCACACTACGTGATTTATCGAATATTTTGCCAATATTAGATAAATTAGTAGTGATTGAAATAACTGGTGAACAATTGATAGAAGCATTAGAAAATTCTGTATCAGAATATCCAAAATGTGAAGGTTAGTAAAGCTTATTTAACTTATATTTTATCGTCTATATCATCTTTGTTAGTTAGCTTGTTATGTTTGAACCCAGTTCTTGCAACAGATCCTTTAATTTTAAGGATATGAAGCACACTTTTTTGTGTGTGTGTGTGTCAGAGCTAATGATATTACCCAACTGAGCAGGCTGAAGTGCGTGGAAAGACAGATTATAATCTAAAACCCACTAGTTGAAATTCAAGTCCTTGAGTAAATGAGTCACGTCTTCGCTGTTTTTAACATACGCAAGATAAATTGTCATGCCATGTTTCTTGAAGTAAATGAGACGTTTATTCATGAACATTCAAATAATTTTCGTACTAAGTGGAAAGCAAACCAGCAAGGGACTGAAAACTAAACTCAGTAATCATACAAAATATCAGAATAATTCAAGTGCTGGTTTGTAGGGATTTGATTGGTTTCAGGATTTCATCATAAGCTGACTTGATTAGAGAACCATTGGAAAACCTGGGAGTACTGGACAGCCATTTCGTCCTAGTTTGGAACTCTTCACAGTACACACCCTCCGGGATTCTCTTACTAATGTCAGCTCATGATGAAATCCTGAAACCAATCAAATCCTAAAAATCAACACGAATAACAATGAGATGCTCACTGGCGACTTGCCCTATTCAGTGGGTAGTTATCTCGGGTTCTAGTGAGAAGTTGTGACCAGTAAGGTGCAGCCGGCCGAGTGTGAGGACAAATCATTGTCGAAGACATTGGCTAGGGTCGCGATATGTCGTGAATTGGCAGAAGTTAGAATTCATGGGTCATTGGATCTGGTCTCAGTGGCTTAATGGTAAACGAGCTCGCCTTGTAACCAGAAGATCCTGGGTTCGAACCCCAGTGGGTGCGTTTCGCTGAAGAGTCCCAAACTAGGATGAAACGGCGGTCCAGTACTCTCAGGTTTTCCAATGGTTCTCTAACTAATGTCAGCTCATGATGAAATCCCGAAACCATATCAGAATAATTGTTTTGACCTTTTAAAGTCCGATTTAGTTGAGATTTTTAACAGTATATTACTGACAAATAATATAAATCCAGTTCCACAATATAAGCATCATAATCCAGAGGTAAGGTTAATTTGGAATATTGCGAAGGTGTTTTCTCCATTGTGGATGTTTCCAAGGAGTTGTCAAATATTATTTGGATGCGGATGAGAGATAGCGAAGAAATATCTCTTTTCAACGGCTTCATTTTCAGGCTGTACAGCAGTCGTATTTATATTACGGAAAAAGAAGGCATTAAGTGGCACTAAAATGCTCAATCAGTATATATACGATTAGAATAAAGATAATTAAAATGATGTACTGAGGGGATAGACTTGAAGTAGATGAATTACAAAACTTGTACAGATTATTCAATATGTGAACTGGTATAAACGATGTTTTTATGCAGCTGACTTACATTTAGTATTTACCAGCCGAAACATGATTCGACAATGCGTCAAGGATAAACTACCGCTTATGTCTACCTCTATGTGCATGTACTCATTCACGTGCTCATGTGGAGTTGGTCTTTTGGACGTTCTAAGCGTAATTTCCGTAAACGAGTAAATGAAAGGTGAGAAAAGGACGACAACGTTTTCAATCTGTAAACACCTTCTAGAGTCAGGTCCCTCAACCCCACGTGATTTAACTTTTCAAGTTATCTTTAGGACCAAATCCAGTGACTACAGAAGCCTAATGTTTTTTCACTTATGTATAGCCCAGGCTCTGGCTATTCATGGACAAAGACCTAAATTATGTATTCAAAAGCGTTTTGTCAAACCTCTTTCTTTACTATCAGTAAAAAGTTTGAGCATTGTGGATTAGGTCAAATAAAGTATAATTATATTTCAATGGTTTACACACAATGATAAGTTTTGTTATTAGTAATATTTCAAGCAAAATTACTGCCCGTGTTCACACCACTGTTGGAATTATTTTGTTCGAACAAAACAATTTTGATCGAAATATTAACAATAACAAAACTTATCATTGTGTGTAAACTATTGAAATATAATTATACTTTATTTGCTCTTTCTTTACCTTGGTCATGATAATGTTCTTTCATTTTACTGTATTTTACCACTTTAATTCATTCCACTTCACTTCACCTTCTCTATCTTTATTGTTATTATCATTGTATTCTTAATTTTTCAAAATACACATGATCAACAATTTAAAATTTCCACATCAGTTGACTTATTTAATGATCTTTAAGAGTTTTGTAATTCATCTACTTCAAGTTTATCCCCTTAGTACATCATTTTAATTATCTTTATTCTAATCGTATGTGCAATATTGACTGAGCAGTTTTAAGTGCCACTTAATGCCTTCTTTTTCCGTAATACAAATACGACTGTTGTATAGCTTGAAAATGAAGTCGTTGAAAAAAAATATTTTTCGCTGAAGAAAAAACTGTGTTAATCCTGTAAATTTCAAATTCGAAAAACCCTGATGGAAAACGGTTTCCTGCCCAGGTTCATAGACAGAAATCTCAAATCTAAGAAGACTTCCGAACAAGTTCAATCCGTTCCAAAGAAAATACTTCTGCTTATCTAGAATTCAAAGGTGATATTGAAGCAGAAATCCTTCGCAAACGCCTCTCGAAATCGCTGAGGAAAACATACTTCGCCGCGAGCATACAACTGACGTTTTCCTGCAAGAAGTTGTTCAGCCAGAACGCGAAAGACAAGCTGTCGCATTGGGCCACCTCAACGTGCATATACCAGTTTACTTGCTCTTGTGGAGCTGAGTACGTTGACCGTACTATGCGCCGACTTCAAAAAACCCGCTCGTGAACACTACCCAGCCTGGTTAGTAAAAAGAGACCAAAAACGTGTATACAGTTCAGTGACAGAACATTTGGTCAATTCAGGACATTCAGCGCCTTTCGAAAAAATCCTTCAAAGTAATATACAAGATTCGATCAAACCTATCAAAGGGAGTGAAATGAAGACATCTGCGCATAGCCGAGGCGCTAGCTATCCAAAGCTCAAACTCACGCTTTGTATCCAAAAGAAATACGTCCAACCTCTGTCCTGCCATGGCCATCATAAACAGGTAATTTTTAGTGATGACCATCCTATCGCGTTCCTTATCTAAACTTCCTGTTTATTCATGTTATTTTAAGTTTTTCTTGATCCCTGTTTACACTACCATATTCTCATACCCGAACTTCGTGTTTATTTTATCATTTTACTATTTCTACATATTTAATCCCTGATTGCATAAACAATTATTCATCACATTAGTTTTTATCCAAACATCCTGTCTATTTTGTTATTTCTACATTTCTAACCGCTAATTGCACAATGTCAATCTTCTTAGTTATCATGATGCTACTTTGTTTGTTTTACCCGCCCCCCTGTTTGTTATGGCATTCTAATTCCTAATTGTAATTTTTACTAATTTGACCCTTAACCGGAAATTATTCAGGAACTTTCCCATCAATTTGATATAAATACGCAAATGTACAGTCAAGATGATGACTTCGTCGGAAAGAAAATTTTCTTCGCTGCAATTGTCTTATTAATAACTCCAAATTGTGCCGCCAAAAATGAGTATAGAAGGTAAGCAATTGCGGAGAGTGTGAAGAGGAAGCAAAGACAAAGACGTATGTGTATTTCCAATCATGCAGAAACCTCATCATGAAAACAAAGATATTCATTAAAACAGAAGATATACAAAATGTGTCCCTTTTTTCATTTAAGAAAAAGTGCACAAAATCGTCAGTCTGGATTCTACACTGCTCCCCCTCTCAGAGAAGTCCAAACAAACTACATAAAACTGTCATCGACAATGATAGCGACAAGAATATTTTCAAGAGTTTGCTTGTAGGGATTTGATCCGTTTCAAATTTTATCACCGATCGATATCAGTTAGAGAATCGTTGAAAGATAGCTGTAGTACTGGACATCTGTTTTGCCAGGCCGGTTGAGAACTCATCAGCAGTACTCACCCACCACTAGGGTTTGAATCCAGGACTTTCTGGCTTCAAGGAGAACTCATAGATCATTCGAGTACATGTAAGGCATTTATATGGTACAGAGATTAGTTCGCACACACCCAATGTTCAAAAAAATTATCAAAGTTTATGATAATTAAAAATGTCTTTTGGGAAACATGTTTCATCGGTCTCCTAGTAACTGAAAAAAATGTTTATGTACTTAGATATCAGTGTATGTATTCATTTGTGAGTGATAAAAAATATTTTTTGTTTTTGATAAATACATATGCATGCATTATAGTTAGCAAACAAACCAACAAATAATAATAGTGGTAATAATCGGTATTTGTAGAAGATGCGTAGAGGATACTTTCGTCATCTGCCATAAGGACGGAATTCTTGACGATATATCGTATGCATCCAAAAGCTACTGTTGTGTTATTTTGCACTTCTTGATATGTGTGCCTTAGTTGACGTAGTGAAGGATCTCTCAAAAATCAACCCCTCGGAATAGGCAACTAATTAATTTTCATAGGGGGGGGGGTGACTTTCTTGAGGAAAAGGAGCCTAATTATTTTGCTCTGCTTTAGGATAAGAAACATTTGTAGTTCTGATTACGTAGACGTAGAGCTTGACTTCCTAAAGCCACACTCTCAGAAAACGTTTAGGCAAACCGATTTATCAACAGTAATACGAAAGATAAGCAGTCTTATCTGGTCACCAACTCAGTTGCAAAGAAAACCTTATTCATGAACTTAGAATTCAAAGGTGATCAACTTTTAGATATGCTCAAAACTCGTCTCTCTAAATCAGTCAGTAAGACGTTTTTCACTGCAAAAATACTAATGACTTTCATCGACCGTAAGTTCTCTTTAAAAGATAAGCTCCCTGGTTTGGCCGCTTTCATGTGCATCTGTCAGTTCACCTGCTATTTTGGAGCAAGGTACAATAGCCGTGGATACGATGACATACTTGAGCATGGTTTTACAAAAGAGGGAGGAAGGGTGTGTGTGTGTTGACTTGCTGGTTATCCTCCCGGGCAG